GTAGTCGTTACATTCACATGCAAACAGACCGTGGTGGAAAATATGATACTTGGACTTTATTTGACTGCTTTCTTTGGACTTCTCTGCATTAATGTAACAACTGAATCAAAACATTATAACCTCTCACAGATGAAGGGAACAACGTTGATTGACTTATAACTACCGCACATGTCAAAGTCTGGGATTTGAATCCAAACTAGCAAGACATGCAAGGGGCTCACGGTTGGATGTGATGAGGATCTATCAGCAGTGGTCGGAGGAGGGGAGGCAAACTATGAAGCAGCAACAGGTTGTTGTTGCTAGAACACGTCTGATCTGCTCAACTCACAACTGAAGAATCTGCTGCTAATGTTTTGGTGCCAGATGCCACAGGGTAGCTTGGAGGTCTTGTGGAGTCTATGCCTCTGCTGTCAGAGCTGCTTGGGCGACATGCAACGGGGGGTATTAGGGAAAGACAGTCATATCACAAATTAGTGTCGTTGATCAGATTAGAAAATATGATACATAGATTAAACAGCCAGCAATATGTAAAGTAGTTCAGTGGAGCTCCACCTTGCCCAGCTGCAACATTGAAGTACATCTTTGCAAACTTATGAAGAGTTCATTTGCAAAAACCGATAACTCCATCTTCACAAACCTTCAGAAGAATATCAGTCAGACTTGTCCTGTCATTTCTGCTGAGTCAGATCCACTCAATTTCACTTTGATGGTTATTAACTGCAGCAAACAACAAAAAAAGAAGATTTCTGAAAATCTGAGAAATTGAATTATCTGTTTTTGCAAATGATCTCTTCATAATATATGATAATAATTATGACCAACATGATAATAAACTGCATACTTTTAATAGTACATTTTGCTGACAATGTTGTACTTTTGCTTAAGCAAGCAGTACTTTGTTTGAATAGTGTGTTATTATGACTTTTATTCGAAATTAAGGATACTACTTCCTCAGCTGCTGACTTTGCAATACAAGACAACACAATTTTTGTGCAAAAATGCCCCTTGATCAGCATCCCAACAGCCAACTAACAATGAATCTCAGATGCGTAAAATGAATTTAGTATTGATAAGAAAGGCTGATGTGAAGTTTGAAGTGGATTACATATTTCTTGTAACTGATCATGGAAGGATTTTGTGGATAATATGTGTACGTCTGAACACTCTGAGTTATGGTTGGTCAGGGTCGGTTGTGTTTTCTCCTGTTAGCTGCAGCGCTTTTTGTCTATTCTCCATTAAAAAATGTGTAATCCACTGAAACCTCCTGTTATTGCTGAATCTACAACTGCATTAAACTGTGTGTCACTGGCAGCCCCTGCTCACAGGCCATAAATTAGTATTTGTTTTTAGCTTTGTATGCGATGCATGCTTTGTCCCAGCTAAATAAACGGTAAATTATTTTGCTGTAATGTGCTGCGTTGGCACATTGACTGGTGGCATTTTTTTTGTTTTTGTTTTATATATATATATATATATATATTGAATCTAGCCCAGTGGTTGTGCATCCACAGGCATGCATATTGTGTGATGTTGTTTGTTTTCGCACTTTGAGCCATTGTTATACACTTTATTAACCCCTGCAGTGTCTCAGCAATTACATATTTATGAGTCTAGGGTTTGTTTTGATATCATCTTCATTACTGCAGAAACACTGAAACCATGTAACGTCACAGGACAGAACTACACAGGCCTGTTCCTAAGCGGAAATTTTGACTAATCATACATAATGGAACTCAAAACCTTAAAAAGGACTTAGATTGTTATTAACACCTGCGCTTTTCCTGCTCTGACATGTCAAAATGTCCACAGTGAGAACAACCTCCAGTGTGTGTCTGTCAACGTGCTGTATAGAGCGATTTCATCAGCGCTGGCTGTTTCACTGACATTAATCTCCCACGTGTGACATCAAATCTGAAACCACGCAGAAGAACTCTCCCAAGTAATAATGTAATTACTTTGCATTTAATTATTCTACAGCGAGACGGTGGCTGTAAGCTTGAACAAGCACTGTTAGACCGCTGAAATGAGAGAGGACAAATTTATGACACTTTATGTTTTGCTCGGCCACCAGTGACTGGACATTATTTAATAGTTGACATGAGAAAATAACCGCTTCCACTGTTAATAAAATAAAACCAAGACGCTTGGGCTAGATGTCATCAGAGTAAAAATACATTGATCAGTGAAAAGTATTCCTATCTATGAATGTCCAAACATGTCTTATAGCAGTCCAGCATTATTGTTTGTCTGTTCTATTGCTGAAACAAACGTATTTTTAGAGAAATATTGAGGAAAAGTAGCACAAATCATTCATCAGTCTTGCAGGTGTTGCACAGTCATATTGGTCTCTTCTAGTTCATAAGGTATTTGCTGTTTGCAAACTCACAAACTCATGTTTCCAAGCTCTGCTTTACTTTTTTTGTTTTCTGATCCTTTTCAAGGGGCTCGTGACTCGATCAAAGAGTTGCTTCATATGGCTAATTATCATTAACTGAAAGTGCAGTGTTACCAAGATGTTTAAGATAGTGACACTGCAGTCTTGTGGGGTGCTGACTGTGCAATTAGGTCACAGAGACTGTTGTTGGACAACTGCTCCATCCCTCTGGACTGCAGTTTTGCTTACTTTGCAGAGCACTATTGCATTCATTATACAGAACCGGGATTTTCAGCCTCCGAACCTGTGAATTTTTTGTTCATAATCATAAAAACATTTTTATATCTCTGTTATGTACCTCAGTGGTTTTCAGGTTTTTTTGACTGCAAGCTCGGCTGGTTTTCATTAACTATCTAATCAGAAGCCAACTCACACTTGGGACACCGAGTGAATGCAATTAAACAGCAGGTAGAGCAAAAAACAAACCATCCTCAATCGACAGAAAAAAGCTTTTTATTTCTGATTTGTAGAAGAAAATGGATGTGACCATAGAATCAGAATGTTTGACTTGATGATAGATAGATAGTATTACCTTTTAGTTTGAGCCTCAGTGTTGCAGCTGATGGGAGCCTATACTGTATGTGTATACACTAACACACACATAAGAGGATGAACCAAACCTTTTTATCAAATTCGTCAACAATGGAAATGTCGATGTCACAGTTCGGCAGTATTTTTAAATGAAAAACGGTGCAACATTTGAACAGTAAATGGGGCAGAAACAAAGGTAGAGGATTACATCTCTGAGTTATTTTGCGTCCTCTTTTCCCAAGAAACAAACTCAATTGGCATTTTTTATCGATTTGAAATCAATTTAATAGAGTGAAGTGTTCCTGAACAAGGCTTAATTACTTTCTCAACATTGACCCGAGGAAGAAACAGCAAATTGATTTCTATGATGTTCCTGTAAGGCTCACTGGACTAAAGCACAGTGTTCCTCTGCCCTCCTGACATCTTCCACTCTCTACTCTTTCAGAAACAAAACACACAAAATCGTCAAACTATACTGAGAATATCACTGATGGTTAACTGCAGCACCAACTGCACAGCATCATCTCAAAAAATGGTCATGAGATCATGAAACAAACATGTTGGAGCGACACTTAACTAAGAGGAGTAGTTCGCCTGAGAGTCTGCACTAGAAAGACTGAATAATGGACAAAGACAGTGTTTTCTTGACCTGTTACTGAATCTCACAACAGAGGAATCGCAGCACCTTAAACTGATGGCTATTCATGCATGCCAAGTATCCTTAACATATGTCTTAATTTTCATTAAACTATGTAATTGACAGCAACTGGCAAGTATCACCGAAAGGTCCAGTGTGCAGGGTTTAGGGGGAACTACTGGCATAACTGGAATATAATGATAATAATTGTGTTTTTATTAGTTTATAATCACCCGAGAATAAGAATTGAGCGGATCCTCTTCCACTTAGTCTATCAGTCCCTGGCTCTAGAGAGGCCTATTTTGTCACTGTTTTGTTTTCTGTTCTCTGGAGAGGCCACTGCATGTTCTCCTATATCCTTGGAAGGAGAGTTTGAGCCAAGGGAAACTGAGGTGGCTGCAATCTGCAATCTCACTGCTAGATGCCACTAAATCCTACATGCTGGTCTTTGAACGGTTTAAGGAATCAGTCTTATAATTCTCAAAATAAATAATACATACATGCGGATCATATTTTAAAGAACCTACTTAAAAAACACCATTCAAACAAACCTAGCTACATGGATTATGAAGTCATTTACATTTCCATACTAAACTTGGTGTCACCTTGTTCAGCCAATTAAAACATATGTGAATGTAATGAGTGACAACAGTTCTTAACATAATGACACATATGTTAAATGACAAAGACAAAAAAACCCCCACAGTAAATAGAATAGAAAAAACTGGATTACTGTATAAACAGAAATGTATAATTATCACATTATAAATATATTCATGCTCGTTGCCTGAATGCGTGAATGCAAGGTGTTTGACTGCAGTGGCAGTGAAGCCTTTCGGTTCTCCTCAAGCAGCTGTGTGTTGTAGCTGCCTGCAGGAGAAGCCTCATTAGGCGGCATTTCAGATTTTGTCAGTACTGACATTGCATAACTCAGAGTAGCTAGCACTGTGTCACACAGTGATTTATGGTCACTGTTCCTCACTGTACCCTTGGGTGCTTTAGTCCACTGAAAACGCCGGGTTTTGATGACTGCATCAAAATAAACAGACACTATCCGGTGACTTTCTATTAACTAGTTTGAGCCTCTGTGGTATTTTTCAGAGCAGAAAGTATTTCTGAGCAGGTGAAGCCGACCTACAGTGCAGACTAAAAGGCTCCATCCCCCGACTGACAAGTGAAATTACTGAAACAATATCACACAGAAACAAGCCCAGTGTTTTTCAAATGGAGCCCTGTTTCACTTCCACATTGCCTCGCAGTTTAACTTTTATGTTCATTTGAAAAATACTGCCAATTTCCATTACTGGCCACCTTTTTTAAATAAATAAACACATAAAATAAACGAGACTATTCAAAGAGGTGCAGTGGGCTTGGATGCACGGCTGCTGTGTCTCTTACCTTTGGATACTGTTGGATGGGAATGAGAACTCTTTCGGAGAGCTTGATGTTTTTATTGCTGATTATATCTAGGTATTTCTTCGTGTCGCCATCTTTCCTCAATTCATCACCTTCGTACTTTTCAATCTCTGCAGAAAAACAGAATAAGACAAAGAGATAAAAGGATAATCAGCTTCTTATGCAACTCAAAAAAGCATCAGTCAACCTCCTCCATTCTGCTTTGGAGCCAACTGCGCAGTGTAATGTTAGGCTGGGGGCATGCTAGGAGAAATTTAACAATGCATTGCATCACACAGTGAATATTCTGCTGACTGTTCTGTGTCTCAGCTGTAAATATGCTCACATTGCACACTTAATGATACGAGATTATCCCCGCTGACTCCCGATACGTCCTTTTACATCAGGCCCTGTAATCTCATGATCCAGTAATTCCAATCAAAACAACAACAGAGGCAAACAGTCACAGTCAGCTCGCTCTTTGCCTCACTTCACTACAGACCCAGCTCTCATGGGCTGTCAGCGCTCCCTGATCCCCCAACACGGCACAGGACTTGGGCAGATGTCGGATTAAACACATAAAACGATAATATCGGGTAAAAATCATTTGGGGCTGTTAAGATGGGATCTGTGGACTTCCGTATTAAGATCACATTTGCAGATCATTGGTTCCGATCAAACTATTTCTGCTTATAATTTGCAGGATGAGCAAATCTTGTGCAAATTGGCCCAATAGCCATCTTGTGTGTCCCCAGCCTTATTGCAAAGAGATGAGGGATGAGATATTAGCTGTCCAGTTAAGCATACCGTATGAGCTTGACAAGTATGTTCCCTGAAAACCCCCGAACAATAATAGCTTTTCATTGTGATTAAAGCACACTGACAGTACATTCTTCTTCATACAGATTCTGGAGAGAAAAAAAGCTAAGTGTTGTTCACCTCTGTCACTAATTATCCAAAATTATCAGTGCACAACACGCCTGCTGGACAATAACTGATGGACCTGCAGAAGACAGAAAACGTGTCACCAACCATTCCTGAGATGATATGCTGAAAGTCAGGAGTTCAGCTGTCAGCAGACAAAGCTGTGAGGTTTAAAAAAAAAAAAAGTTTTGCGACGAATATGTAATCCTTAAATTTGAATGCATTTACCTCATGTTGTAATTGAAGCGACCAAGCAATGAAGGAAGGGGGTCGACCACAGAATAACTGTCCTCATACCAAGCAGAATCCACCTTTAAATCCATCTTTAAAGTCTCAGAATATGACCTTCTGGATATCCATAGCGCCGACTTAATGATCCCCTGCAATCCCAATATTCACTCATTACAGCTTCTAGTAGCCAGTGGATTAAGTTTTAAGGAGCTAAGCTTCACGTTTTTATGAATTAAGGTCACTTGTTTTTTTCTCTTGTCTGAGAAATCACAAAGACCAAACTCCAACTGCTCGAAATGAAGCAATTTCTTCCAGCCCTCTGTGATTGTGCCTGATTGTCCGAGAAAGATCGTTTAAATTGGATCCTGCTGTCTCTCTCTGTTTTTTTTTTCTGTTCTTTATTCTGACACTCTCACCAAAGCTGCAAAACTGTCTTGACAACTGGAGTTCATGCAAATGAATGCAAAAAATGCCTTTCAGATTATAATGTGTCAGTCAGTGCGAAGGAGATGAACCTAAATTTAACTTTTTCTTTTTTTTTTCCACAGAAAGGAGATTTCTGAAGCCACTGAATGCGTTTAGCTCATATCAAAAAACATGCATGAGGCTCAGATGTCCCCCAGTGAGGCTGTTATAAAAAGGACTGCATCATGTAAACCCAGTGAACCGACTAACGCTCACCCAGACCACCATCGCCTGCCACTGGGAATAGACTGCCAAAAGTTCTTGTTGAAATCACAGGTAAACAGACTGAAAGACCCCTCCAACCTTTTATTCCCATCAACACAGCTGATTCACATCTCCTTCTGTGACACTTTACACAAGACGAGTGTCCCCAGATAGCAGGAGTCTACAAAATGTGCCTTTTAAAAATAGTATTTCGCCTGAGGAGATAAATCAAGCACAACCTGTGGTGTGCAAACACATGCATATTTTGAACCAGCTCCGCTCACATACAGCAGACAGGTAGGTACTGTAGAGTGACAAGCTGAAAATATAAACACAGCATTTACATAAGGAGGAGTTTTTTTTTTTAGCCACATTAGCTGTGGGGCTCTAGGGATCGTCAAAGTGGGTCAGTCTGTCCACCTCTTTGGTCCAGATAGAAATATGGCAACAAATATTGAAACAATTGTGTAATCTCTTAATTTAATCTGCAAAACTACTAAGATGCCCATCAGCTCAATGTGCTTTCGAGCAAATGTTAGTTTGCTGATGTTAAACATTAACACATCTAGGGTGCAACGAGTGAAAGATATGGGCAACAAAAATCGACGACTAAATTAGCTTCCAACAGCTTGAATCGCCAGATAGTTGGTGTTGTTATCACTTGTGTTTTCGGTTGACTCTGAGCGCTCTGACATGGAGGCATTAATGGAGTGAAGTGTGTCACTCCCCATGCGAATCGCTGCCTGATGTGATTAAATAAAAGCGTGGTCCACCTTCTCGCAGTCTGGGGACATACTGCGAGTTGTGGGTGGATCAAGGTTACTGCTGATCTCAGCACGGGAGAACTGGAGGAACATCGGATGAACCAAAAATAAGAAATAACCAGGGGGGCACTCCATCCTCAGTAAGTTATCACGGAAGCTATAGGGCCCTACCCTTAATGCTGCCATCAGTCTACCACTGGTCCACGAAAGGCACTTAGCCGCTGCAGTGTGCCGGCCACTGGGCTATCCATAAAGTTTTCACTGGTCCTCTCCTTACTCAAGATGTGTATTAGAGCATGCTGCGTGTTGGGTTAGACAACTTTATTCAATATAATATAACAAAATCAAGCCGGAAATTGCGTTATTGTAGCAGCAGTTCACATAAATCACATAAAACACTCTATTAAAACGGTTCGCAATGAGCACGTCAATTGTCTTTATTGCTAGTTAGCAAAAAAGACCCTCAAGCTAAATTTTACAGCTGATGGCTAAACACAAGCCATTTGGTAATTGTGCAATTCATATTCCAAACAGCCCATTATTTGCTTCAATAAACGATAGATTATAGACATCAGCATGTTGGCACTGTCAGTGTGAGCATGCTACAATGACAAAAAACATTTAGTTTGGAGCTCTCTTTGGCTAATATTCCCCACAAAGAGCCACCACACAGCTGCCACTCCTTTTAATAAATGCCCCCCAAATCAAGTGACAAGCCCTCTAGGGAAGGAGTGTTGCCATAGCAACATAGTTCACACCCAGAGGAGGTTTGGGTGGATGGTAGGTTAACAAAACATTATTTTGCTAATTTAATAGAATGCATTTTCATGTGTATTTATTCATACCGTCTAATGAAGTCAGTAAATAAATCATTTGCATTTAAAAGAGCTTTTGGTGCTATTTGCAGTTGCAGCTTTCATCAAGGACCCGGTTCTTGATATCTTCAAAGATTAGTTTTAGGTTTCAGCACAGAGAATTTATTGTGCATTTTCATTGTGACAGGTTTCACTTTTAAATGGGCATGAGGTTCATATTATTTGAATAATGCAATTGTGTTTTTGTAGCCCATGAAGATGATTATACTCTGGAACAGTGTTTATGGGAAACACCTTCATTCTGGTCCGTAGCCTATAAGTGAACTCAGAGGGCGATTATGTGTGAGAGACAGAGAGAGAGTGTGACAGAGGAGTAAGAAGAGGAAAATGAGCTTACAATGTATAAATCCGGTGAAACGCGCACACTGGTATCATCTTTGTCAAATATGTGGTCGGAAGCGGCAGGAGCCTAAAGATCAGAGAAGCGAGAAAGTGCTTTGAAGGTCACTGGTTTCAGTCCTCATGCTGGATGAAAAAAAAAATCTCATTTGGGGAACTGAATGAGTAAAACACTCTCAGCGACTATTCTGGTGCTCTTGATCCCCTCTGTTGCGCTGCCCAAACTGCTTCAGCAGAGCAGCTCAGCAGCCAAGACTGGAAGAAAAAAAAAAAACCTGTGGTTTAACTGGGCAGCTACCAGATAAATGTGTGCAACCGAACGAGTTAGGAGACAAGGTTTTGCTGAAAAAGAGAAAATGTGCTCAGTCAGCCTGCCATGGCTTAAGGTTAAATACATCTGCTTTGGTCTGTATGCAGCGACAAAGAGCATCAACAGAGAGTGAGGAACAGTTTGAAGTCCATTTATCCTAGACACCGTGAAAATGTCAATAAACAGACAAAACTGTATTCTGAATTAAATTAGCATTCGCCTCTTTTGGGAGGACATAGACAGACAGCAGATCCAACTACAGAAGGTGCCTTTGGACCAGAAAACAAGCACTAAACAAGATATTCTGGCTGAAGAAAAAAATCATTTCGCCATTGAAGTCTGGTCTGAATACACTTGTCATGGACTGTCTGTTTTTTTAAAAATTCCCTCAAAGTTCCAGCATGGTTTGCTGAAAAGAAACTGTCCCAAACCAGAAAGTGTTTGGGCTGCTATCAGTAGTTTCATAGTATCACGTGCAGTTTAATAACATAAGAAGAAGAGGAATGGGAGCTGCACCATTTGTTGGAGATAATATGTTTACTGCTCGGCTGTTTATCCTCACATTGTAGCTTTATTGGATTCCGGTTGCTGTTTGCTATATGGTCCACGCTACTAAAGCATGCAGTTTGTTCTACTGCTGAGTAGGAGGCTTTTATAAAAAAAAAATGTGTGCGCTTGCAAGTCTGAGATGCTTTCGGTGAGATCAAATTGTCTCTCATGTCTGGTGCTGACGTTTTGATGTTGTGATTTTCTGATGGGTCAACAGAGAAGCACGAATCGAGAGAAAACAGCCATACGGCGATAAAATGAGTCAACAAACCGATTCCAGTCAAAATTAATTCCTTCCAACATAGGTTTGATTAATCTCCTGCTGCACCGTCATGCAGCACAGGGACGTGATGAGATAAAAAAAAAAAAAAAAACAGAGCATAAAGATGAACATCATCTCACCCAACACAGCAAACTCGGGATGTGCTGGAATCTGACATGTGCTTTGTGCAGACAAATAATGCACACAG